GAGCTCGACCCATTGACGTTCACGGACTTCCAGTAGATGCCCTTTCCCTCGACCGGACGATTGCCGAAACCGCATTGCAACGTGCTTATGGCACAATTGCGGGACTACTTGCACACTGCAGTACCAGCTCCGTTGATGGACGCCGGAACAGAGGTTGTCGACCTTCACGCTTTCATTGCGAAGATCGACCGCGAGTTCAAGACGCAACGGTACGACGACATCGACACACCATTGCTATACATACGCATTCAGATCGGAGAGGCGACCCGCAGTGCCTTGATCGATTGCGGAGCATCTCGCAACTACATCAGCCAGGACTTCATGGTACGCGCCGGCCTTGGCCCACGTGTCCGGAGGAAGTCCCAGCCTACGCAAGTCACTCTGGCAAACGGTCATACGCACAAGTCCATCGACCAGTGCATTGACACCGTCCCAGTGTACTTCGCCCCTCACGCAAGTGAGGCGGTGTCCTTTGACATTCTGGACACCAAATTCGACATGATCTTGGGCATGTCATGGCTGCGAAGCAAGGATCACCCGGTGAACTTCTTCAACCGCACSGTTCACRTTCGTGAYCGGAACGGAGTATTAGTTYCATGCACGGTGTCTCTTCCTCATCCTTCGATCAGCTGCCACGTGGTATCCGCCGCAAGCATGCGAGCTTCCATCATCAGAGACGACATCGAGGAGATGGGGGTGTGTTTTCTCCACGCCCTCCTGCCACATGACGCTTCATCGACGGACCCACCTTCGGATCCACGCATCACCGAACTTCTCGACGCCTACAGCAATGTGTTCGAAGGCCCGCACGGAGTAGTACCGGATCGACCCATCGGCCACGAGATCATCCTCGAGGACGGGGCCGTGCCTCCGCGCGATTGCATCTACCGAATGAGCGAGGAAGAGTTAAGTGCGCTTCGGGCACAACTCGACGACCTTCTAGAGAAAGGCTAGATTCGGCCTAGCTCATCGCCATACGGTGCTCCTGTTATCTTCGTCCGGAAGAAGAACAAGGACCTGCGGTTGTGCATCGATTATCGCAAGCTCAACGCGCAGACGATCAGGAACGTTGGCCCTCTCCCACGCATCGACGATCTTCTCGAGCGATTGGGCGGCGCCCAGTTCTTCTCTAAGCTGGATCTCAAGTCAGGGTACCACCAACTCGAGATTCGCAAGGAGGATCGCTACAAGACCGCGTTCAAGACTCGGTATGGGCATTTCGAATGGCTGGTCATGCCATTTGGCCTTACGAATACCCCAACCACTTTCCAAGCGGCTATGACGACGGAGTTCCGACACATGTTGGATCGTTTCGTACTTATCTACCTCGACGACATTCTGGTTTACAGCCGGAGTCTGGACGAGCATATGGAACACCTGCGCACCGTTTTGGAGCGGCTACGACAGGCCAAGTACAAAGCAAACCGCGACAAGTGCGAATTCGCAGAGCAGGAGCTGGAGTACTTGGGACACTATGTGACGCCGCAAGGCATCCGTCCGCTTGCGGACAAGATCGAGGCCCTACGAGTATGGTCCGAGCCCACCAACACCACGGACGTTCGTTCATTCATGGGGTTGGCGGGCTACTATCAGCGATTCATCACCGGATACTCCAGGATTGCTACACCTATGACGACGTTACAGTCGCCAAAGGTGCCATTCGTATTCGATGACGACGCACGCCGGTCATTCCAAGCACTTAAGACGGCTATGCTCATAGGACCCGTCCTTAGCATCTATGACCCCACCCTGCCGACGCGAGTGACTACGGACGCTTCCGGCTATGGCATTGGGGCAGTCTTGGAACAGCACGACGGCGACGACTGGCGCCCTGTGGAGTATTTCAGCCACAAAGTGCCTCCCATCAACTCGCTTGATGATGCAAGGAAGAAAGAGCTGCTCGCTTTCGTGATGGCTCTCAAACGCTGGCGGGACTTCCTCCTTGGGCGTCGTAGGTTCACATGGATCACAGACAACAATCCATTAACCAACTACAAGACGCAGGACACAGTGAGCAGCACGATCGGACGATGGATGTACTTCATCGACCAATTTGACTTCACACCAAAGCATGTCCCCGGCCTCTCCAATCGCGCAGCAGATGCACTCTCGCGAAGACCTGATCTTTGCGCTATGACACATCATGCCTTCGCATTCGACGAGGAGCTTCAGCGACACTTCATCCGGGCATATCAGTCTGATCCGGACTTCGGCACGCTCTATGCACAACTATCTTCGGATCACCCGCCGGCCAGCCATTACCGCATTGCCGACGGGTACTTGCTCCTCCACTCGAGAGGCAAGGACTTACTATGTGTCCCATGCGACCGTCGTCTTCGGACTCGCCTCCTCGGCGAGTAACATGATTCACGACTCGCCGGCCATTTCGGAGTCAACCGCACTATTGCACGGCTTCGACAGCGATTCCGATGGCCCGACCTCATTACCGATGTCACTCGGTATTGCGACTCTTGCAAGGTTTGCTGACGCAGCAAGCCCCGCAACTGCAATCCCTACGGCGAGTTACACCCGATGCCTATCCCTTGGGAACCCGGTCTCTCCATTGCCATGGACGTCACCGGTCCGTTTCCTCGCGACCGGCTCGGGCACGACGACATCCTCACGGTTGTGGACCGATTGAGTAAGTACGCGCGTTTTCTCCCTTGCAAGTACTACTCCACGGCTCCTGAGCTGGCACGCCTCTTGCACACTGGTTGGATTTGTGGCCATGGTGTACCAGAAGACATTGTCAGCGACCGCGACACTCGTTTCATGTCCGCGTTCTGGACTGCTCTCATGCAGGAGTCCGACACAACAATGAAACCAAGTTTGGCTCGACACCCTCAGACAGACGGGCAGACGGAGCGGGCACATCAGACCGCTCAGCATAAGAAAAGAAAAAAACTGTTTTCAAATTTAATACCCCAAAAAACTAGGAACAATCTTCTGTTCCATGGGGTATAAATTGTTTTTAAAGGGGCTAAAGGGGTTTAAAGGGGAGTGCCTTAGTGTGATAGGCTATTTCTTTTTCTTTCAATCTTCTGTTCCATGAGGATTTTTTTTTTATTATTATTATTTTTTTTTTTTTAAACAAAACAAATCAATTATAACCGGGAAACGGGCCCGGCATCCCTCACATGAATACTGCAGCACACAGGGCTGAGAGGGGCACTCCGGACCAGTCTCATCCCCAACTACAGTTACTCTCAACGTTCGAGACCCCTGCCCCCCGGCATCAGTACTCTCCGAATTCCAAAGTCTACCAAGTCTACCAAGTCTACCAAGTCTTCAAAGTCTACCAAGTCTACAAAGTCTAGAAAGTCTACAAGTTCTACAATTTCTACACTGAAACAAAACAAAAGTAAACCACAAGTAAATCAAAAGCAGTCAACAGGAAACATGTACAAGGCATATTTGTAAAACTAAAAGAAGCCTGAAAAAGCCAAATAAAACGTAAAGGATCACCGAAAGATCCATGATCAATGATCACAAAAAGAAATCAGAAAAGGCCAATGCAGGGAAGTTCCCCCCCTGCAAGTTGACAGTACATATTCCAGGAAAGGCTCCCCATCTGGCACAAAACCATTTCACAGCTTTTGCCGAATGACTTTTCTTCTACACTCGAAGCTCCCATTCTGCAGATATCGCCAGTTTAATGTTATATTTAACTTCAGCTCTGACCATTGGGGGGGTTGTCTGTTCCCCCCTACGAACTGCCAAATTGCGGAGATTCCAGAAGGTAGTGAGAATGGCTGCCCGTAGCGTTTCTTCAGCATGGGAGTAGCGATCAAAAGACCGAGTTCGTCTAGAAGCTGTCCCCAAGAGCACAAAGCTATCATCCCATCTAGCTTGCACATCCGGAGTCGGAACAGACACCAATCCCAAAAGGGCCGGGTGAGGTCACACTGCAAAACAAAATGTTGAACGTCTTCTACTCGAGTTCCTGGACATATTTCACACAGCGGGGTAGCTTTGGTAGTCCTGCGTGAGCACCAAGTAGCCACTGGCAGAGCCAGATGCATCATTAACCACAACAAACTAGCATGTTTCTTGTTGGTTAGATCCATAAGTTGTTTCCAAAAGCCCGGAATTGCTTGAGCCAATCTTGGCAAAGAATCTGCAATCCATCCAGTCCCCATCCACCTCCGTGCCACTGCCCAATTCACATCCAATTGTGGCCTTACCATCTGGTAGCCCAGTTTTGTAGTATAATCTTGTAAAAAAACCAATTTTCCCGGATCATGGGGATGTTCCCATGCCCAATCTCTAGGATCTACCGGCAGGTGTGAACACAGAGTCTACAAACAGAAAGGTCGGTAACTGTTGTTTTGTTCAATCACACACACCGGCTGCATCTGTTCCAGTGGAGGGAGAGGTATCTCTTTTTGTACACACCGAAGAGGCTCTCCATATGAGAAGGCCTGACCTTGAACTTCCCAACATGAGTAGGGTATATCTGTCACTTCCGAGTATGTTTCCTTTCTCCAAACATATCGCGGCATAACCTGATCTTCCTGTTTATACCACAAACCATCGGCCTGCTCAAGGCCCCTCCTTAAAAACTCTAGCCAGGTCTGTGGTACCGCTTCATGTAACTGCTGAAGGTGCTGTTGTTGGTGCCACAATCCTGTCAAAGTGGGTGCCAGCACTTCGAATGTTTTCCAATCCGATGAATGAACATCCCACAAGTTTGAAAGGGTACCGATTCCTCTACCCATCCATGCATTCCCAAATTGGCCAGGTCCAAAACATGCAAAAGGCATTCCCTGGGCTGTCAGTATCCAGGGGTTATTAAACAAAGGTTGAGTAAGCAATCGCTCAAATCTCATCTGAGGAGGTTGAAAGTGAGGGCAGACACCTCTCCATGCCTTCAAAATACCAGCCCACACCCCGGATGGCATTTGTTTGCGAAAATATTCAGGGAAAAGAAAAGCTAACCAAAAACAGCGCAGATCAGACCAATCCAAAAAGGAAAAAAAGGTAAACTCAACCAGCTGTGTCCATGGTGAATGTGGCAATTCAAAAATCGCCCATGGCACCCATCGTGCCAGCAGGGCAATAATCTGGCTTTCTGGGTCCAAAATCGAGAGACCTCCGCATCGTTTGGGTTGTATCACAGTCTGCCAAGATACCTTAGGCAAATATTTGTCTTCATTCATCTCCTCCTTCCATAAGTAGTGAGACAACAGGTGTCTAGTCATCTGAAGGGAAGGGGGGTCCAATTGAAAGAGAGAGCGTCTGTACCACAATGTGGACAAAACCGCATTGTTAATAACTATCGCCCTCCCAAACAAACTAGTGCCTTTATGTTGAACCCATGGCAAAATTGCTGCACACAATCTAACAAGAGATTGAGATGAGTCACTCATCTGTTGAGACTCAAATGAGAGACAATGTCCCAAGAGTCGTTCGCTTTGTGAGGAAATGACAACCCGAAGGCCCTAGTGATAGGGAGGTTGTATCGCTGGCGGCATCAGCACAGAAGACTTAGACCAATTCACCGCTGCTTGTGACAGTTGACAGAAAGTATGGATGGTTTGTCTCAAGGCAAAAAAGGCCTGGTCAGACAGCGGTGTAAAGGCGACAGAGTCGTCAGCAAACGCTTCAGACTTAAGAATCGCTCCTGAGGGCAATGTCACTCTCGGAATATCAGGATTTGTCCTACTCAAAATATGCATGATCTCTACATACAATATATACAGATATGGTGCAACAGGGCAGCCTTGCCTTACCGACCGAGAGAGGTGAATAGGGTTAGACAACACTCCATTGACACACACTTGCGAAGTGGCGTTAGAAAGAAGAGCCGAAACTGCATGTTTGAACTTGGGTCCAAATCCAAAAGTTGTCAACGCCGCCTGCAGGAATTCCCAGCCTACACGGTCATATGCTTTCTCAAGATCAAGCAAAACAATGGCGAAGCTGTCTCCCCCTCTCAAAACGAATTCAAGTAGTTGCTCCACAATCATCACATTATGGAGAATCTGCCTCCCAGGGACAAACCCTGTTTGAGTAGGGTGAATAAGGTGAGGGAGCACGTTTTGAAGCCTTGCTGTCAAAATTTTAGCAAAAATTTTATACAGTGCGGGCATCAATGTGATAGGTCTGTAATTTCTGATATCTGTGATAGCTACTTTCTTGTGGGTGAACGTAATAATCCCTTGCAATACTTGAGGCGGGAATGCCGCCCCATTCCAGACAGTCTGACAAACAAGTAGCAGTTCCGGTAGTAAATGCAGCGAGAAATTCCGAAAAAATTGGGCAGGCAACCCATCCAAGCCCGGTGTTTTATGCAACGCCAAGGATCTAAGTGCAGCAGTCACCTCTTGCATAGTAATGTCCGCTTCCATGTTTTGCAATTGACTCGCATCCAGTTTCTTATCAACTCTAGCCCACACTTCATCATGAAATTGATGAAGCAACTGTTGTTCAGTGTATTGGGCCTGTGATGCCAACAGATTCTCATAGAATAAAGATATATTAGTTATAATAGAGTGGGTATCTGTTGCCAACGGTGCCTGTTCGTCAAACGGGTGTTGCATTGCCAAAACCAGACGCGGCTGTAGCGGCGGGCGATGACTAGCGAAAAAGGAGGCTGTCATCCGATCTCCTCTGATTAGCCAACCCACACGTTTGTTGTGGGTGACAGTCCTCATGGCCGGCTGGACTTGAAACGTCCAGCGTTGCTGCAAATAATCCATTCTGGTCATAAATGTGCGCTCATCAACGGTGGAGGTCGACGCCATATGCATAAGATCTTGCATCTCTTCATTGATTCTTTCAAGATCAGTGTGATTCCCATATACCAGTCAGCCTCAGAGGAGAACAGGTATTTGGAGGTACGCCATTTTGCCCAGAACTCATACAGAAATTGAGTAAATTGTTGAGTGCGCACAACCCATTCTGGTAATGATTTCCTATCATGACCTGCCCGGACAAAAGTACAAAGAAAAAATTCTAAAAATAAAGGTTGATGATCTGATCCCATGTATGGTACAACAAAACACTTAGATAACCTAGGAATCAAGGAATCTGACGCAAAGAAGAGATCCAGTCGACTTCAGGGTTTATATTGTTGTTGAACAGCCCGCGCTGCAAAAAAGGTGAAGCCTCGCTCAGAGGGGTGCAGCATTCGGAACAAATCAGAGAAGCCATCAAGGAGAACAAAATCCAACAATTGCATTGCATCAGGTCCCACCAGTCCTGCTCGAAGTGAATCCTGGCCCGGGACTAGTGTAGTGTTCCAATCGCCTCCCAAGATTAATTTGTCCACATCCGGAATCAACCACGGCAAGGATTTAAAAAGGTCTACCTGTTCCGGTTGCGAGGTAGGGGCGTAAATATTAAACAACGCCCATTGTTCTTGGAACACCTCAAAATGAACCCATAACCATCGACCGAATGGATCACATCTATAGTCAGTAATCTGAAATGGCGCAGTCCGGGAGAAGAGGATAGCCACTCCTCCACGAGTACCCCGGGCCGGGGCCCAAAACTGCTGGCCCAGCCACCAGCCCCATTGTTCAGTAATGGCTTCGTCATTCAACTTCGTTTCTTGCAGAAATATAATGTGCGCCCCTTTGTTTCGGGCCAGTGTCTTAATCAATGAACGTTTAATCGCCACCCTTCTCGACCCCAACC